GTAAGCTAAAAATGCCCGTTGCTTGAGGCAGGGGTTTTTGGCCGCATGCAGAGCAGGGGTTGGGGGGGCGGGCCCTGCATGCAGAGCGGCAGCAGCACAGGATGGTGGATGGCAGTGGCAACCAATCTCCCCCCCAACCCACCAGCCAGCCAGAAATTCTGGTTAGTAGAGTGTGCCGGTTACTAAAATGCCAGTTAACGCAGCTTTTACTGTATTAATTATACCTATTTCAGGCCCTTAATGGAACTGAGAAATAGCTATCAATGAAAAGGTCACCAAGAAAGATATTTTCTTATCTATTTACAAGAGGAGAATGAAAGGAACTTTAAATGACATTACACAATATTCAATAAAGAATGTTAGGCATTCGCAAGGGGCTGACATAAATGTCAATTTTTTCATTGTTTTCAAAATAATTTTGAAAGCAATGAATGTCATAATCTATTAAGTTTTCTAAAATATAAGAACAATTCTGATATTTGATTTGAGTATGAATGTATGAATTACCAGAAATACATAAATGGCACGACCAATCTAGGAGAAACAAAGTATTACAATGGTGCAAAATTCAAGTATAAATGACTATATCAAATTTATCTTTAAAATATCAAACATGTACATGTGGCAAATCCTTTCCCTCACTCCTTTTGATAAAATGCATTAGCTAGCAAACACAATAAAGACAAAAGCAGTCAGTGGCATAATGGCAATACACAGCTACCTCAGCATGAAATTCAAGACTCAAAACCACAATCAGAATCCCAGGAGCAGTAAGCAATTGAAACATTTTGTGACATTGATTGGATTACTGTGCACTGGCTAACAGGAGAAAGGAAGATACTGAAAACCAATTTTTAGTATTCACATAGTTTGTCATTTTAAGTTTCAAAGTAATTCACTTGAGCTCAATTGGAAGAATAATACAGCAATAAGCAATACAGATTTTTAGGATGCCTGGAATGGGGCAGCTGGCTTGGGATAGTTACTAAGTTCAAATATGTTTACACAAAAAAGACACACTGTGCCATGTTTCATTACTTTTATCACTGCTATTGTTAAGCGATGCATGCTAAGTCTCTTAGGTTTTATTAGAGATGTCATATATCAGTGAATACAGTTTGGGATGAAAAGAAAGGAACCACTGAGTTCTAATCCTAGTTTTGCCACTTAATTTTTTAGGTAGCTTTAGACATATTACATAAATTTTCAGTTTCTACAAACCCAAAATATGGATGATGACATCTCATTAAGGATTTGTGGGGATCAGTTAACAGGTATAGATAGTACATTATAAAAATATGGCAAACATTTATGTTAGACCAGCCAAAGTATGCACAGTGGATTCTGACCTTATTTATAGCATATAAACTGAGAAGGACTCTTATATTTACATGAGGGTAAAACAGATGAAAGGCCAGAATCAGGTCTGTTTTCTACTTACAAAATTAAACAAACATAATCAGAACTCATAAAGTGGCATACACTATTATTTTCAAGCTTCATTTTATACTATTGTATTCCATGTTGCCTAAAGAAATACAGGAATGATTATTTTAAATTACAGCTCCTTTATGATACCAAATTAGGTTTTTATCACACTAATCATAATATATGATAATAATACTGGATTAGAAATTTTGCTAATAGAGGAACATGTTCAGATTCTAGTAGCATTTAGCATTTCCTCTTGCAATAATGGCTAGAACAAGGAGGATATCCACATTACCACTCTTAAATGCCATGAAAACGTAATACCAATAGAATTTAGATGTGAGCTTCATTTCTGGTTGTGCGGGCCGCCTCCCGATCCCATCCATGTCGCCATGAGTGGGCCGGGAGCGATATGCGGACCCGTCTTTGCGCACGCGG